AAAAATCTTATGATGCATTCTTGTGTCAGAGGTGATGAGCAGAAAGCAAGTGTAAAACCGGAAATAGTGGTGCTGGTCAGCCTAAGATCAGCTCCGTCACAGAACAGATCATCTTAACTCATTTTACTGCATTTTTTGGAATTAACTTCTCACTTGGAAAAACTCATGTGTCAGTTAGATTTGTTAGTAAAACAATACTTTTTCTTACCTAGCGCATCAGAGATGATTTCAAGATGATAATAAAATTTTCCCATGGTGTTTAAACAGTTGCTTGTTCTCGTAACTCATGGTTCATGGTCTCATATTTGTCACAATTGGAGAACTGTGTTTCCTTTGTGAAATTCTCATTGCTTTGGTGACGCATGGACACGTGTCCTTACTGGATGGAGTATGATAGTAGTTGTTTGCATTCTATCCCTAAATCTGGAGTCCTGTATTGTTTCCTGTTAACTTAAAAAATATGAATATTGTTATTTACCTTAATAGCTAACATCGCACCAGTGATGCATATCAATTTGGTCCAACTAGGAATTCCAATATTAAATGAGACAGTAATTTCACAACCCACTATTCCAAAAATTTGAATTGATGGCTCAATTATACCAGGGACATTAGCTATTTTAATTGAGTCAATCATTGCTTTCTTCAATAAAAGTTTCCATTCCATCTGCTCTTTTGGTTTATTGTTCTTCAGAGTTTCATTTGCTTTCTTTCCCAAATATATATGATTTTGGCTTTTGTCATTGAAAATCCTTGCTGGTTTTGCTACCTCATGCTGGAGAGGAAGCCTTGTGACTGTTTTATAGTCACTGGTTTCATGGTTGTATGAGTGCTTAATGCCACCTTGCAGGGGCGTGGAGACCTAATGAAGTGTGTACATAAAAGGATTAGTCTACACTGAGTGCAGGGTTAGTGTTCGCAGCCCATGTCATCATTATCATAATTAATCCATTACAATCATCCTCTGTTAATCAGTGTTATCCTTCTAACGTCTCCAGGAGAGGAAATGTAGTA